GTGTGTGTGTGTGTGTGTGTGTTTCCTTGGTAAAATTAAGCAATGCATGAGTCTGACATTTAATTACACCGGTCAATAACAAATGTAGTGACTTTTTTTTTTGGTAACTTTTTTTACTTTGACAGGCTGAATGAAAATATCATGTTGGTTTTGCTCAATCAGGTCAATTTTATGAACTTTGGCCACATTTTTTTTTTTAACGGTAATTTTTTTTGGGGTTTTTTTTTGTTTTTTTACAATTTTTAAGTTACTTATTTAAGTTACTATATTTTTATATATTTTTTGTTGATATTCTATATTTATTGACAGGAACCTTTACCTGTGTCTTTGGTTTATAATATTTGATCAATACACAGAATGTTTTTTTCTCAGATGAGAAATATTAACAAAAAAAATCAACCAATGATGTTTGAAAAATGTAATCAATTTCGTGCAAGAAAATCAAAAATTTTTTTTTCTTCTTCAAAAAATCAACTGAGCATTAAATCCTGACCTGAACGAGAGAAACATTTGTCATTTTCGGATTCAGGGATGTAAAACCCGTTGGAAAAAAAAAACAGACAACTCTTATAACCCGGTTATCAAGTCTGTAAATTTACTTATGCTTTCTACATATTGCTTTCGGATTTGATTTCAAAGAGCTGGCTTGTGAAATCTATACATCTGACATAATTTCCAGCGAAGCGTTGACTTGTCAGTTTATGAACACCCAGTGAAATGCTTCAACCTGTATACACTATAGGCATACTCTGTACACTTTTAATGCTCCACTATTGGGGATACCTGTGTTTTTAGAAATATGCTAATTTCTTACCATGTAAAATCCAAGCGGTATATACTGGGCATGACCCGGGGCAAAATTCCCAAATATTTTTTCGACGAGTGTTGATGTTTCATTACAAAGGGTAATATAGAATTCTTCTAGAACATTTTAACATTCCTAACTGTCGTACGAGAACTTCACTGTACTATACTGTACTTGTGAGTCTAATAACAAATCCAAATCTTGCTATGATTGTCAGTATAAGATGTGAAAGAACTAAGTTCAATGTTTGAGGTTTTTTTTTTTTAGGTTTCTTTTGAAAACTGTCCAAACAAAATTACCATGACAGTCATGATGAGAAACGTATTCAAAACGAATACAGAAGGAAAAATATGGTCAAAATTCTACGTACTACGTAAACATCACCCGATAAGCCACGGAGAGGAAGTCTCGTGATATTTTCCGACATCGCGCATAATGTCATCATGCCTTGACGTTCAAAATGTCATTTTGAACGTCAAGGCATATTTTTCCAGAAAATATGCGGTTGAATTCCTAATTGTATTGACATTTGGGGGGCATTTTGACTGTCCTGCTGCATTTTACAGGCGTACCTAATGTTTTGTCCAGGAAAACTAGTGGCTAGTGTATAGCTCTAGTTGGTCATCGAGACGACATCATTAAAAACCTCATGACTTCAAAAAGTGCCTGACACCTCTTTTGTGTCTCACTATCACCTTCCGTCGCAGGGAGGCAAAATTTCACCAAACGGGGACGCGCTTACGGGAAAAGCAGCATCCTCATTCGACCACCGCGCGACTGCACTCCTCTCATGTGGATCAATAAAGGATTTCTGTTGAAAAAGGGAAGGCCCTATTAAGCACATGGACACATCCCAAATTCTGAATGTATTCCGAATGATCTCCGGTAGTGATTTTCCCCTTTGGTTAAAGCTATCTTTCAGAAATTTATTGACATTACTCTGCTGTTTAAAGTGTACAGTCTGATATGGAATTTGACTTGCGACTTGCAAATGTAAGGTTGTTCTTTTTTTCATACTGCACTCTTTTTGTAAAAGAAAACATCCAAGGAATAAAGTGATGTTAGTGTACAAGGATGGCAATGACTGGTCATTTTGTTCTGATTCAGATTATTCAGCAAACCTTGCTGACATAAATATAAAATATTACGTTTGAATGTCACACTATGGAATGATAAAAATAACGATTTATTTCAGGCTGAGTGGGGGGGCGGGGGGTGTTTGTTTTAAAGTGTAATTAGATGTAAAAATTTGGGGGCTGAATTGATTAATCAAAAAACTAATTAGATTGCAAAAAAAAGTTGAAGCAAAGTCTCTGCTTGAAAACTGCACAGACTCATCGGTTTTTGTCAGTAATGTAAGCTTATGTTAAATTATTAATTATTTTCATTTTATATTTGAGCATTATGTTCTTTTGTGTTACAGTTACCTAGGTTATATTCTGTTTAATAATTGCTGAAACAATTTTATATTGATATTATCTGATTGGTTAAGGAAACCAGGAAGTGTTTGGTGTTTTTTCCGGGAAGGAGGTGTGTTCTTGTTCGTTCGTTCGGAGGTGCAGACGTTGGGAAAATAAAAACTGCCTTCAAAGGATTCCATCTCTCCTTTTGCCCATTTTTAAAGTAGAGCTATCCACTGAAAAACTACGAACCTCTCAACTTACAGTAACATAACCCGTCTTGTCAGTTACCTTGAAAAAGTTCCTTGGTTACTTTCTTTAGAAAGTAACTAAGTTAGATTACAAGTTACATTAATAGATACATTCAGCAGATACCGACAACTTCTGCACACTTAATTGGATGTGACATTTAATACGTTTTTAATAAAAATAAAACAGAGAGAGAGAATGTTACTAAATTCAAGCTACAGCGTGTAGAATTTTGTGCCATCCAGTGGTCATCTGATACAATAACAAGCTCAGCTCGAATTGCGTGCATTTTAAAGCACGCACACTACGGTGCCTCAGAAAGGCCATACTTCGTAAGGCTACCACAATGCAGTCCCAAACGACTTTTAGAATATTCCTCAATTGACGGAGTAAGTACAATACGTTTTCAACATGTTGTAGTCATGATGGTGAGCAACTACGTTTGCTTAGTTCGTCTCGTTCGGTTAGCCGTAGCACAAAATGGCGTCAAAAGATGGCAGCCTCCTGTTTGTAATTCTTTATTATGCTTCGTGTGGTTTACCCCCAAACGTCAGGGGACTACTTTTATTAAGATATCTGGCAACTGCAAAAAATGCATGATAGTTTTTACATTGGACTACTAACTGCTTAAAATGTTCCATAAACGTACTGAAACACAAACCAAATCTCTTGGAAGAAATGTACTTTTTTTCCCCCCCCTACTGCATTTGTACTCCTTCCTTTAAGGTCACATACTGTTTAAGTCAGAATCATTCCCTGATTCTCTCCGGTAACACCTGAATTAATCCCTTTTGGTGGAGGAATTTTAAATCCTTTTTTTTTCAAGCAGCACAAATTAGCATCAAAAGGGTATTTCAGTCAGCCCAGCTGCTTCAATTCACGCCTGCCCTTCAGCTGGCTTTAAACTCTGTTTCACCTGGACCCAGCAGGAGCACACTTCTCACAAAATCTCTGGGAGTTACAACCCGTAGAATCCTAATGTGGATCAGCGACTACAAAGTATTTGTACACCATCATAGATGCTCACTTTCCTTTCGTGGCTCAATTGTGTCTTTTTGATGTTTAACCCTTACTGTACATACTGTTTGGATCCATTTTGAGTCATTTTGAAATTTAACAGCAGTTTAAAAAGTATCAATAATTGGCAACCTTTATCACGCTTACATTTGATGACACAAAATACACCTTTTTTTTTTTCTTTTGGAGGGGGTGGGGGCTTGGAACGGATTAGGGCATTTACATGGAAAACGCGTCTCTACTTACGAATTTTTCTACTTCAGAAATTTCTTCCAGAACCAATTAATTTCGTAAGTAGAGGTGCCTCTGTAAATTAATCTGTCAGTCACCAAGATACCATTTCATTAATAGACCATTTAATTAAATGCTTTCACATTAATTAAATACACATTTAATTATCTATTTAACTGGCTCAAACAACCCTTAGGCTAACCGACATGTCAACGTTAGTCAACGACCGCAGTTGTGAACAGAAAACTAATATTATGAAACATTTACCGAGCGGCAGTCAGGCACTGACGCCGACGGTGGAACCTGACCACGCGGGGGAGCCTGATTCCACTCTGCTGAGGTGACAAACATGTTACAAGTCTGCCCGCCATTCATGTTTCAAAATAAGGCGTTGATGTGACGAACATAAGGGACCTGATCAAAATGAAGCCGCTGGGAAAGATAGCCTTATAGATTGTATGGAGGTGAACCTTGCTTTCCGTGTTGGTAGTTAAGGTAATTGTTACTCGGTTTTCTCAGTTGTTTAGTCAAGTAAATCTTTGCTCACAAGTTGAAGAAAAGCTGAGCGAGCGATGAACCCACCCGCCGCTCGGGCCACAAGAAAATCAATGAGAGGTTCGAACAACTAGCGGCGTCAAGCACTCTCGTTTGTTATTCAAGCCGATTTCCAGCTGCGACGGCAAAAAAAAAAACACAACGAAATTGAATGTGAAACGGAAAATAACCATTCTTCCCAGTGGGGCGCGCATATTTGCAGCCTTTAAAAAAATAAAT